GAATAATAAAAGTAATTAAAATGGAGATGATCGCTTGTTCAGATGAGTTTCGATTGATAATACATATCTGCGTTTAAAATCATTTTATCAGCTGCAAGTTAACTCCGTTTGTTAAATAGTTGAAAAAAAAAATTGAGCAAAGTACTTGTTGATAGTGAGATGAGAAATTCTCTTTAAAATTCGAGCTATTGAATGGTGAATCGTGATCGGGTTTGCTCGATCAATGAAATTTCCAATCATGTATTATTTTTATAAACAAACTCCAATGCGTGTTCGCCGATTATTTAAAATACTTTGCAATTTTCCAAAGAAGAACAGTCATTAGAAGTATAGGTTATATTCACCTGGTCGTCTAATATTTACATCTGGGCTAAGTGTATGCTTCAGATATTCGCTAAGCGTCATCAAATTGTCATCTGTGAGTTCCATGATTGTTAACGTTAAAAACTTGTTGTATCACCAATTTGAAAATATATTAAATCCTCCGCAAAGGAATCTCGAAACAACGCAGTGCACCGGCTTTTGATAAATTCAATTTCCTAACCAATGATCGTTGCCGGTTGGCGCTTTCTACCGGTTTACGCGGGAACAATTTCCGTTAAAATAAAATGTCAAATAAAAATAATATGTTCTACGTTCGATTCACTCGAGTTACGATAAAATCAATTTAAAATAATCGTTAAAGACATTTGCCGTTAAAGACATTTGAAGGAAAGATTAAGGAGTTGTGAAAAATTCTTTATCTTATTTATTTCTGAAAAATCAAATATCGACAACTAGTTTAAACTATAATGCTATAAGTAAATTGGAATTACTTTATACAGTGGCTTAAATATTATAATAGTTAAAGTTGTAATAGTATAATAAAACTATACTCTTTCAAGTAGATTTTGAGCGCTGTGCACTCGACATTCGCCTATATTCCAATACTGGCCGCGGCTAACGACGCTCAACGCTGATATTCTTATAATTACGTGATAATAGCCGGGAATATTTCACGTTTCCAGGTAATGTGCAAAGGTATTTGACGACTTTCAGTCAGCTACATTGGCAGGTGAATGTGCAACTTCTGTGATCTCTCCCGCGAACGTGCAACCGAACTTAGAACTGCGAATCATTTTTCTACGAAACCGAGTTTCTTACTTTTCTTCCAGAAGTATGAAAAATCGAAACAAGAATGCTCATAAATATTCTGTCGAGTGTAATGTTTTAAAGGCAACTTCGAGTTACACTCGCGATTCAGTCAGTTCAATTACTAAAATTTTTTGTAATTATGATTCACTGCACCTGAACAGGTAATTTACATTATTTATTCATATATGATTTTTCGCAATTTCGTAATCATGCAACGAACCCAATGAAATGTAAAAACAACCGGAATATTTATAAACTATATTTATAAACTTGTGATTTTACGCAAAATGTAAAATAAGAGCCATAAACTACTATTCTATCTAAAGATCTTAATGAGTATGCCAATTGCATACTGACGACGATTACTCCTGAACTATGACCTAAGTATTGGACCCAAAGGAAAAGTGCACACAATCTTATTAGTAGTTAACATTTAGGCCTCCAATTTTTGTAAAAAGCATTGTTTGCTAAGCACAATTAATGACTTAACCCGCCATTCCCGCCAAGGACTAATTGGACAACATATAAGTTATATAAAACTGCACCTAAACAGGAAGTTAAATATTTAAAGCGCGAAATTTCAAAATTAATAGACGAATATGAACTATATTTACTGTCAAGATTACAGTGAAATAAAAATCAACATTTAGAATGTTTTTCAATGAATGCAAATAACGATATTAATAAAATAATGCTACATTAGTTATAATTAGAAACTTTTATTTCGCGAGATTTGTATAATAATCAAAAACTTTGACCAACTTTGACAACACTTCAGGGTTATGCAACATATAATCGTCTCTTTTAATATAACAAATAATTTACTACTTTTTATTTCTATCACTGCGTTTAACTGTAGATTTATTCACTTGTGCTATGTTTATTTGTTGAAAACAACAACTATCATTAAATTTGACACGATTATTTACGTTTGGGGCTATATAGAAGCAGCAATGTTCATGTGTATAGAATCTGGTAAAATATAGATAACAGTCTCGAAGTGAACAGCTATTAAAAGGGCAATAAGAAAACGTATTGTAAAAAATGAACTAAATTATTAAAAACAAATGCAATATTGGTTCTTTCGGACTCTGGCATATTTTGAACTCCTAGACGCAAGTCCATAATACCAACGCTACGACGTACGACGAAAACCAGTGTATGGTATAGTTGCAATAAAAATAATTCGGCAACTTCATCTACAACTTAGCATACTGTCAACGAAACGTCGAAAATGTGGGAAAAGTGTACAAACGGTTATCGAATTTTTTCGTATTTATTATAACAGTCAAATTATGCAATCATGTGGCCGGCGAGACACGAGACGATGACCCGCGATGAATGCAGAAAATGTTTACGATGTTTGGGTAAGGTTATGTCCTCGTATAATTGTTTTCTCGCCTCGGTAATATTCGACTTTTTTCAGTAGATAATCTAATTAAGGACAGTCAGATGTATATTTTGATTTGAAAACGAGTGTTGAACACGTTGCGATCACCGTGATCGGTATCATTGAAATACGTCGGATGGAAATCCATAGAACTGTATTCGATTATCGCTATTATTTATGAATGTACTAATATCCATTAGTGTTGTATGAAAATGTACCTGTTTCTCATTAAATAACATTATTATAATGTAACATGTTTTTCTTATTTATAATTATCTATTCGTGCCTGTTTCGCTCGTACAGTAGTTCGAAATAATCCGTTTCACGTATGAGACCAATTACGTTTCAACTTTCGTTCTACCATGTTCTACAATGTCTTTGCATGTGTCCAAACTTAGCGATCAATAAATCTTGTTAAATTTCATTCTTATGTTGGAATACAGAGATGAGATACAATGATGAAAGATTTTACTAAAATAACAGACAGAAATTCGTTAACTCTATGGTAAATTGTTTTAATTAGCAAGAGAATGTTTGCTGTAATATTAAAGTTATTGTAACAGATCCCCAGGTCAATTCAATGTTCAAATATATAATCATATATTTTCTACATTGAAATTGATTTCCTTGTTACAGAACTTGAAGCATATGGGAACATGGTATCTGTCTTACGTGCTCAAGGTCCTTTTACTAATGAGAAACAAAAACTGCTACAGGAACTTGCTAAAGTTTTACATATTTCTAATGAGAGACATCGTGCTGAAGTGAGAAGAGCCGTTAATGATGAAAAATTAGCAACGATAGCTGAACAGTAAGAAATTGTTAAATAGAAAGATTTCTTCGAATCTCTAGCCTAAATCCAATTAAATCTTAATCATCTGTTACAGATTAAGTGGTCCAAATACTGGCACTGATTGGAGCATCGAAGGCCGCCGTACAATTCCACTATTACCTAGATTAAAGGGTCGATCGGCGTTCACGACGTTAGCAAATAGCTTGTCCCTCACAACAGCAGTGGCGAACAAAAGGAATCGTCCCGTTCATGAGAAAGCAGAGGATGCAAAAGGTTTTAAGGAAAAATATTATCTATTTTGGTAAATGTGTGGTTTTAGTCTTTGTAAAATTGTCTCTGAGTATATAGAGCTGTGAGTTTAGCGTACTGAAGGAAATCGACAATTTTCTCAACATAATTCGAAATAGAAAATTCTGTTTACACGTTTTTTTATGTTTGCTCCTCCAGATATTATCAACGAATCTCCCATGAAGTTAAAAGTACAAGAAAATTCGTTTAGCAATTACGAGTTCGAGCCTAATGAAGATAAATTAAGCGATGAGGTAATTTCAATGATCGTACGTGTTCTGTTTCTCTTAGTTATTTGATATAATGTGTTATAGGTCATAGAGTCGGATAGGAATAAGGAAATCAACAATTCAAGCAATACCCCTGAGGTTAGCGAAAGATGTACCGTTTCTGAAAAGCGTAAACCTTCCTCCCCTCTCTCGTCAACACAACCGAACAAGGTAATTGAAAAAAGAAGCAATCTTATGCTATCTTCGAGCTAAGCACATACGCAAGTGCAAATTTAACAAGCATGCATGATCAATCTTACATTAATGTACACTTTTATGTTTAATATGAGTACAATTAAAATATAACTAATGAATATGACACAATGTAGGTTTTAGTAATGTCTTCAAGTCCTCCAGGAATTGATTATCATGATACCAGTGATAATGTAACATTAGGAAATACTATTCATCCATCTCGAATTCCTGAAAATTCGTTGCCACATCACAACGTTACAATAATACCGTTGAATGTAAATTGTGAAGAAAATACAACAGGTAATTATTATTAATTGTAATTTAATATAATATTACTTTTTATCGTACATTGTACCAAGTAATTGCCATCTCAAACGCAGAATCTATAGAATCACAAGTACAAGAAAGTGCCAGTAATCACTCAGTAATTCCATCTAGTAATGTGAACGCAGTGATACCCATAATTACAACGGGAATCGCCACAACTACGGGAAGAATAATCACGGCGCAAAGCAAGATTAACGCGAAAGCAGGACCGGCGATTCTGACGTCTGGTAGCTTGCCAGAAAATAATTTACAGTCTGATACAGAGGATGCATGTGTACAAGATAGTTCAAGTACGAAATTACTTCTTTTAACGATATATCAATCATTTATTATTCACATTGGATTGTATGACTAAACTGCGAATTTAATGCATTTATAAAAAAAACTGAATGTGTACAATAATAAAAAGATTGCATTGAACGCATATTTGAGTACACAAGTGATAAAAAAATTGTTACACAAGATTTTTTTAAACTGATATTTTAAATATTTTAGTATTATAAATGCAAAATAAAATATTTAGAAGAGAGAACAGAAAAATGAAATTTCGATATGGTTACACTTATGAATTAAATGTCATAACGTCCGTTTTACTTCCAGTATTTACTCATATTCAATACACTGTTAGAAATTCAGCATATTCATGTCTTTTGTGAATGCATAAAAGTTCGCAATTTGGTCATGACAAATGAGAAATGCGATATTTTTAAATTGTACTAATATTGTTTTATTCTCTCAGATCCTAAAACAGTATCACCTGCGTCGGACAGTTCCCCAATAGCATCAAGTTCGGAAGATCTCAGTTCAGTTACAAGTAACGTGAAACGCGTTGTGTCAGTAATACATCCAAGCGTGAAACCGCCGATATCTAAAACTGTTACCTCAAGTAAGCATTCACTCAGATTCTTGTCAGTCCATGGGGGGGGGGGGATTGAAAAGGTTCCGAAAATAACTGTTTCAACTCCTGGTTCACAGATGATAGTACATCAGAGTAATCTATTTTTCAATTAATTCTTAGGTAATTCACATCGGCTGATGGCCGTGTGTCCTGTTACAACAGTATCGAACGGGCCAGGGCCGCCTCAGGCCAAGCAAATCACAACGTTAACTTGTAAAAAACTACCTACAACGCTCAATAATCAAACCACTGCCAAAATGGTAATCGAGATTAAATATACGACCGAACTTGATAAGTTATCGTCCGAAATTTTGATCCGAAGATATAGTATTTGTGATGTTTCAGGGTGTTACATTGAATTCTAATAAAACTGTAAATATATCTCCCCATCCCGATGCGAAATTAGGATCGAAAACGAACGTGATCGTTATACAAAAGGGTCAGACTAAAGGTCTAACTCTTTCTCATGCAGGCAAGGTACATTAATATTTAATCAACAAAGTAGTATAACTTCTTCTTTTAAATGTAAACGTAACGTACTTATATTTTAATATATCTCAGGAAGTATTAGGAAAAGTCATAATGGGTGGAAAAAGCTTGTGCGTTACGAGCCAACATAATGCTGCTATTAGTGTGGTGCCGCGCCATATTACATTAAATAACGGAGATCAAGCTGTAACTATGATATCTACAACAAACTCATCTCATACAGAATCTATCACATCCAATATAAAGGTAACAGGTGTACTCGTTCAAGATATTATAACTAGACTAAGAATTTTTATACAAAATAAAACTTGTAGGGTATCAATTTAAGAAATGATATGTAGTAAGAATATCCTTCAATCCCTTGAGCATCGTGCTATGCATTTTGCTGTTGATACTTTATGCGCGTATGTTTTATGTTTTTTACATACTTCATTGTGCTACAAATGCATAACTTCCACAGTCTAGTGAATCAAATAAATTGCGGAGTTTGATACACTTATGAAACACGTAAGTCTGCTGCTTCAAAATTCTAATCAGACACTGCTTTAATGAAAGCTAAACCTGGACACAGATAGTTACGGATTTGGAAACAGCTCTCTATCGCCACTTGCTGTCGGTCTGCATAGATTTTGCTAAAGGGATGATGTACTAAGAAGTTGCATAAAAATTCGCAGTCAAGTACAAACTACAACTGAGATAACGAATAAACGAATTTTATTTATTCTTTCAGTCTGGTAATGCTATCATGTTCAATCTTCGGCAGGATGTTTTGGAAAAGAATAAAACATTGTCTCATCTCTTCGAATCATCCAATGTTCTTACCTCTGAATCTAAGACTGTGATACAAAATGCGAATGCTTGTCTATCAAAAGAACCAAGTAACAGTGATTTACATGTACAGGATAAAGAGTTAATTGTAAAAACCGACGCTGTAATTACTACTACTGTTAAAGATGAAAAACACAGGTCAGTTTAAAACTATAGAAATTGTACCATTCAAAAATTGTCCTGTTTAAGAGAATGAATGGAAAGCACACGCAGCATCCACATAAAACGAAACTTTATATTATAATTGCGTCAAAGATTTTTTGTAAATTGTTCATTGTAAATTAATAATATGTTTTATGTGCAAAATATTTTACAAATTGAAATATACCCTCCGAAAGAAGATGTACACTTCATAAATGAGATCGATGTTAATCATCTGAAAGATGAAAAAGAAATCGTTTTATTTTGCTAGTAACACTTACAAATTTATGTTAACTTATTTCGTGGAGTATATTGCATGTGTTCTATGGTTTCCGCTTCGATTAATTTGTATTTTTCTTTTTAAGGAAAGTAAAAAAAAACTATATTCGAACGCAAATTTTTATTTCACGGATTCTACGGATCCTAAAAAATATTTTAAAAAACTAAAGAAAATAGTTTATTTAGACTATTTGAATGTAAATATATAAGGTAATGGAATCCTAACCGATATTTTTTATAATTAAGTATTATCCGTTGCTATTGGCGCATTTTTAACAACGAGAACAACGTTTTTTAATTTAAAGTGGTTTAATGTATTATTTAAATTATTTCCAACAAATTGCAACAGGTCTCGCAAATTCTTTTGTCTTTTTTATGTTTCACGCATAAATAATGCACATTATTTGAAGCAAGAGGTAGTGGAGCAATGTAGAATCGTGGACACAAGACTGTATAACAAATTTTTATTATAATAATTTATTTACAGAAAGAAACATATTCGTGATGTGCATTATTAAAGTAAAAAGAGATGTAAACAAACGAAAGACTTGATGTATCCCATTCATATTCCTGTGTATTCAATCTTTAACAGACTTCAATGCTTCTAAAAGAAGAACTTATTTTTCTTATGTTCACTAAATGTTTAATAGAAAAGGAATTATTTGACTAATCAAATATATTTTATATTATAAAGAGAAACTAATGCATGTAAAACGTATTAATAATTTAAACATAACTGATTTTATTGACAATATTTTTTTATACTATATTACTCAAGTTTACCATTATTTCATTGTAAGGAAAAGATACGTTCGTTCAAGTTTTGTATTATTCCAATGCCTCATCGTGCGATACCTAAATATCTCAGATACTTTCCAAAAGATTATCAGCAAATCTGAAAGTAGTTAGTGCTAGTTAGGAAGTTATTTTCCAATCTAATTCCTTATCAATGCTGCCCAGTATATTTGGATTTTTTCTGAAATGGTAGCAATATCTTATTTCACGTAGAACTACAAATAAAAGAGTTGCACTTTTTTATAATTGGTGCAGCCAAGTCGTTCATGCAACGCGATTTTATATGTACATTATTATGATATATATAAATATACCTTCGTTAAACAGAAAAACTTATAATTCTGACATTTGCTCACGCTTTGTATCATTGGAACGATATGTATGTAATATACGGGGTGTATTCAAGCGGAGGCTGATTTTACACGTAAAAATAAGTCGAAAGAATGGAGTAACATTTTTTTCGTTTGAAGCTCAATTTTCAAAAAGATCTTGTTCGAAAGTTCTGTGGAATACACGTATATTAAATTATCTCCAAATGTCTAAATGTGTAATAATAATTAACAAATATACTATATTTATGTGCTCACGACAGGGATGCAGATTTTTTAATTGTCGCATTAAAAATTAGCGATTAGATTTTAATCGATAATTGGAATGTTCTATAATTAAGAATTAAAATTCAGTCCTTAATTCGAATTATTTATAATTGATAATTGAAAGTCAATCGTTAATGAAATGTCTTCGAATTAAGAATTAAACTTTAATCTTTAATTAAGGTATCTCCTAATTATGAATTAAAATTTATTTATTTATTTAAATTATTTAAGTTTTCATTAAAAATTGTAAAATTAAGAATTATGAATAAAATTTCAATTTCTAATTAAAAGAAATTTCAATGATTAAATTCTAATTCATAATTAGTCAATTTTGAATTAAAAAACGTTCATTATTAAATTGTGTTCATTTGAATTGAAGATTGAATCGGTTATCTGCAACTCTGATGATTCACGGCTGCAGGCAATCATTGTCACAGTTCTACTGATAGAAACAGACTAAACGTTGAGAAAATATATCGTGCGACAGAAGACAAAACGTAATACACGGCAATGACTATGAAAGTGTAATCGAAAAAAAGTGTGCAATGTATAAGTAATTGGAGAGGTAGTTCAACAGAATTTTCTACCATAATTATCTCGAAAACTGGGCCTTAAGCGAGAAAATGTTACTCTTTCTTTCGATTTATTTTTACATCATCTGCTTGTAGAATCTCTTGACAGCCGAGTAGAATGATAATAAGCAATGTTTATACAACTTACTTAACGATTGTTTCTTTGTTGTACATTTTTAGGATTATTGTATCGAACTTATTAAGTTTTTAGGTCAATCTGGTGTGTAGCGATAAGAGAGATTTATTATTTGTAAATAAGTGCTCCGTACATATTAAATCTATCAATTAAAATATCTGGTATACATGTCATTGCTCTATGTTCTTATGTTTTAAACATTCCATTCACTTTTAGTTTGAGTAGATACGTTTTTCCAGAATATTTATTTCATATTATTGTATATACAAGTGTTTATTAACGATAAAAATTTTATATACGTTCAGAGAAAAAAGAATATAAATCTTCACTATAAAACAATTGTAAAAAGATATATTCAATTTTAGAATAAAATTTGAATATCGTTTTATGAATGGAACATTAAGTTATAGTAAAATAGTTCCTTATAGTCTGAGGCGTTTCAGTAGTATTTGGTTCGAATTTAGAATATTTTACAATGATATTCCATCTTATTATTGTACTTGATGGATTAGTGTCTGAAATATTTTCTGATAATACATTAGATTCGTGGTTGTTATGAATACAATCATTGTCTTCAATTTGTATTTGATTTGTGCCTTTAATCGTTTTCGGATAGTCCGTGAAATTGCAAGACAGTTTTTGAGCAGATTGGGCACTGGCCTCTCGTATTTTAAAATTATCGAAATTCGTATACGCTAATTGATTCAATTTATAAACGTTTTGGTTATTATTGGACTTCGTTTCGAGCGAATTCTCGTTTTCAGGTTCTGAAAACGTGTACAATTAAATGTTATATTATAAATTGTAGAGTTTTGTGCAAAAAATCTGAATAAACAAAATTTAAACCTTTTACGAAAAGTTGAGATTTGAACACTTTATGGTTCTGATTATCGTTACTTCTGTACAAAAATTCTTTAAGGGAGATCTTTGCAGACGGAATGCTATTGCTTTTTGGCATCGTCAAAGGGCAAGGGTCCTTGGGTGGTCTCTCATCTTCTTTTAAATCCGGATGCAAGCTACTCATAATGTTCATCAATTCGGTCATTCTAGCATGATAATCATCGGATAATGCGCGGTTTCTACTTCTCTTATTCAGTACAGCTGCATTTTTGTTATAATGCAAATATTTATTCCGAATACCTAGAGGAGTATGCTGATTGAATTTGTTGGAATAATATAGCAACGACTGAGTTTCGGACAGGACAGGCTGGACAGGGTTCGGCTTTATCAAGAATTGCGAAGTTTCATTGCTAGGGTCGCTCTTGCTCTCAGAATTGTTCTTCGATTCGGACGGGTGTTTCGGTATCGAGAAAAGTAGGAAGGGCACGCGCTTCACGACGAGTTTCTCAACGACGTAATCGTATTCCCTGGTTCCGTCGTTCTCACGAATTTCCTCCAATGAATCCTTTTTCCGTCCTCGGAAACAGTTCAGGAACAATGCACAAAATTTTGCTTTTACCTCGGAAACGGAACTGGTTCTCGACGAAGTGGTATAAATTCCGGTCTCGCGCGAACTCGCCGAATAATCGAGCTTATTCTCACTCATTTTAAAACTCGTTTTACCATTTTCTAACGCATGCCACTCGGTGGTTAATCTGTCTAGTCCAATCGACCTCAAGGAGAAGTGCGATTCCTACTAAAAATTCTTCGTTTTCGCGGCATCGAAATTTTTTTGTCATTCATATCGAACGTAACACGCGGCGCCGTTATTTATTAACAAACTCCATTATTATAGTAAAATCTGTTTTATGTTTACATCTATCAATTTGCAATTTGAAGTTTGATTCAATTGATCGTCCACATCGAATATCTTATCAATATATATTTGAATTTTATTTCGACCATATAATTTCGACACATTCACATTCTTTATGGATGGCACTCAGTTGTTCCGAGAAAGTTTCAAAGTATAATAGTTGAAATTCGACAAGATCATCTTCAAATCAATTAATGTATGTACAATTCACATGTTGAACATCCATGATCAAAACGAATAAGCAAATTCAAAATTACGCGGTATCTTACTGAGGGCAGGACCTATTGGGCTCAAACAGAGCCTTCTACAGTGATCACCGCGAAAAATCACGATGAGTGATTCTGAACGCCATCTCTATTTTGTACTTGTTGAATCTTTCGTCAATAGATTGTTATTAGCGATATATTTATTATAAATAATATATCTGGTAAAGTGCGTGATTGTTGTATTTTTGATGTTATATTAAACCGTACTTCTTACAAATAGAATTGACAATTTAATAGAACTTTCTTCTAACATAAGAACCATGAATAGGTTACGACCGTGTTTAAAAACACTTGCAAATGTGAAAAGCATAAATTTCGAAGGTGAATGTGGCTACAAAAATTGCAATTGCTTTTGATGAATGAATATAATTTTTTAATTATTAATCTAGACTGCAGATACATCCATCGATGGATATCTCGGACACAAATGGAGCTAACACACAAAAAGAAGAAGAAGTTACCACCACAACCAGAACCAAAACGTAGCAGTTTCATTGACTGGAATAGAAGTGCAGAAATCTATGCATTTAATTGTAGACTTTCAGAAAAGTTTGATACAGAGAAGTTGAATGAAGCATTTGTTCATAAATCATATGCTGTCGAAGAGATGAAACAACAAGAAAAAATGGGAATAAAAGACCCAGCAGTTAATATACAGGACAATGAAAAATTTATTAAGAAAGGAAGGCAAATAACTTTAGACGCAATAAAAAAGTATTTAAACAAATGTTTGCCACGCCTTCCAGAAGAAGGTGTCATGTATGTATAAACTGTATATTCCTTAATTTCTATAATTCTACTTTTTATATTCACAAATAAATATGATTTACGTTTCAGAGCAATTTCTGATTATCTTATGTCTGAAGAAATGTTAGCTAAAGCATCCCAGCATATTGGAACGAAAGACATTATTTTAACTGGTGTTCGTATTTCTTTTAGATTCTCTAATAAACTTTTCTTGACTGCAAATTTATAGTTTTGTTATATCTTATTTAGGAACATCCTGTGGCTCGAGAAACAATGGCAAGTACATTCACAGCACTCGTAGGAGCACTTGCTGAAAGTGTTAATGCTGATCACGCAGCTGTTTTCGTGCAAGACTTTTTAATAGCTGGATTGGCAGAGAAAGATTTAACCGAAATATGGACCCCAGCTAAACCGTTTGAAATGTTGAACGATATCATTTCCTCGGAAAGGAAAACGTCTATAGAAGCAAGACTCATTGGGCAAGCTGGCAAGAACACTATATTGTCAGCTTATCATATCGGAATTTATGCGAATAAAGAATACTTGGGATCAGGTAATTAAAGAAACGTTTTATGTTTATATCTTAAAGTTCATCGAATGATAACAAAAATTATATTTTCAGGTTTTGGACAGACTATTGCAGAGGCAAAAGATGTGGCTGCTATTAATATAATGGCTGAGATGTTTGGTCTGTTGCATTCGAGTAAACCACTAAGATTTGATGAAAAAATCAATTTGTCTACTTAATGTATTATGTATTAAAATTGTAGACTGTTAAGTAATGCCAATTGTAAATTTATATAGGTGTATAATTATGTTATAATAATATCTTCTATAATTAAGCGTCAATAAATAAATATTAGAAAACACGTGTCATTTATTTTATAAGTTTTTTTATTCAACACAGTATTCACTCCTTGTAATATACTCCACTGTTTTATTTGTCTAGTTCATTTGATATAACAAAAATTTATTTAAAATGCGTAAATATCATGAAACGTACTTGAAATTCTAACGATCAAAGGTGAACTTACTTTACTGTCCGTTTGGTGACATCTCGGACGCAGTAAGCTTGCGTTGTTAGAACGTGACGAAAAAAAGAGATAACGGTACTGACGCAGCGTCCATAATGATGTAACACAAAAGTGTTTTTAACATGCTTTCTCTTTTAATTTTCATTAATTTTAATATACAATTCGGTAAAGATACGAAATAATATATCACATAACTTTTTTTACAGGTAGAGATATGTTCAGATTTGTAATTAAAGGTGAAGAGTTTTCTTGTTTTCGCGTTCGTTTATATTCTATTTCAATTTATAAATTTCTCTATAGTGATTAAGAGCATAATCTTCTATAACCATCGGGTCGTATGTATGTACATACATGATTATAAAACACTATGCACGAAAATACTTTTTGATAGCCTGGTTGCAAAATATGATAACACATGTATACTCAGTTTATACATCAATGACCGTTAAGTATATCAAAAGTACAGTAAAGTGCACTTGGCATACCGATAAAATACAAATTCCGTATTTAAAGAGAAGGATCGAAGTCGCGAAATTCCATGTCCGTATTCTATCTATATATGTTCAATAAATTAACAATGTTCTAAGACATTTGAAATGTTTATATATAATAGAGAATATATATGGGTTCTTATCTCGAAACAAAACAGTCAAAAACTATAGTTTTATTTCAGTTAACATATTTTCCATACTAAAGATGACCGACTATCGTTTCGGTAACGGTATTGTTAATAAATACTAGTACGAAGTGCTAGAGGAGAAATCTCGAAAAAGAAAAATGATGAAATAAAACGATTCGAAGATATCAGCCAAAATTTTTCTATATCGGTCGTAGGTATAATATTGATTACTTATGATTCATGCTATCCCCTTTAAGGTGGTTCATCCTTGTCCCCATCCGCACTCCACCGCTCCGAGTTTCCGCCACTTCTACCGCCTTCTCCCTCGTTCTCCTTCCCGCAACGTTTTTCTTTCTTCTTTTGTACGCTCGTCTCGTTCCTTACTTTGCCGATTTCTTTCGCACTCGAAACCGTTCCTTTCCTCGTCGGTCCAACCCGTTCTCTCTTTCTTTCTTTCTTTTTCGCCCATTCGCTTAAGCACGCACACACGCCCGCGTGTATGTACGCGTGCGCGCAGACAGACCCACGCAATCGCACGTATTATCCCACTACTTGCTCTATTCCTGCGTGTAACGACTCAATGGCGCTGCCACACCCTTTCGCCATCGAGTAATCAGTGTTATTGTTTTACGGTTCCATTTCTGTTATTATTTCGCGGGACAAGAAGCGGAACGTATCGATTGGCGATATACTAAATACCGCCACGCGGTACGGTTCCGTCAACGAGGTAAACTGTCGAGGGTACCATTCGGTGGCGTTTGAATCTGTTGCAATACCGAGGGCAATAAAGAAATGATACAGGAAATAATTTCCGTGCAGTCTACGCCCCTGCGCTCTCCAATGCCCGGGCCTGGTTTTACGAGTACCATATTCCGTCCATCTTGAACCAAAATTTAAAATTTGCAACGCGACTCGATTCTACACCACGATGAAACGTTCGAATATTTTTCTTTCTCAAAACTTGTAAATATAATTGTAACGCGCTGCCGTTCAGCTTGTTTATACGGGTACAAGTTTAAACGTATTCCGGCTAAATTTAGTTTCGTTCTACAGGCATTTTGTACATACTACAAACAATGCTGAATTTAAATGCAGTCTCGGAGGCGTTAGATTTGTTAAGGGAATTCAACGAAATTCTTGGCTGTACGGTTGCTGACATATTTCAGTTCGCCTTAAAGATCGACGGAACGTTTTGCAGTGTTCCGCATTTAGTCGATATATATTTATAAATCATATTACGGTCTCGAGAATAACAACGAGCAAGTACAATATTTCGTTGCAATTACTGCGCGTATCAAGCTCACTGGCGATAATACGAGATAATACTAGTTTTCTTTCCTTAAAAAAAAAGAAGTAACGTGTACAATGTATATGTACGATGCATTCGAATGCACGTTGTATACACGCGACGTGCGTGGCAACGCGTGATCTAAGATGAACGAAACTGCATCTCGCTCCTACCCTGTGCGCATATACAAAGCAATACAAAGTACACGAGCGTATTTAGAATATGTCAAACGTTTTTCTGAAATCTCGAGATCGGTGGAAAACTTCGTAGCCTGTTTAAGACTCGGCAGATCTCTCATTCTCTAGTGTATTTGACCCCCCACTCGTTTTCCCTATCTCCTTCAACTCGGTAAAACGGGATTCTTTCCTTCTCTGCACCGCCGTTCTCCGTATACTCGGTGTGTTGGTGGATTGCTCGGCGTCCGTGAAGCCTTTCGCGACGTTGCCATACGTACACCCTGCCATCGTTGCCGTGCCCTCTTCCAATGTTCTGTTCCTTTTCGCTCGTTGAAACGCTGGCTCGGTCTCTGTTACACCTCAGGACGTGCGCGGCCAGGATCAACCATACACCTTCCTCCGCCAACGGCCGATATCCCTACCCGTGCTATTCACAACCTCTCCGCCCTCGCCCCCCTCCTCGTTTCATCACTCTTCCCTTACCAACCCTTCTCCTCCCTTCTACCCGGCCGCAAAGGCAGCGAGTTTGCTTGTGCTCGATGCAGTACCGTACTTGCACCTTCTTTCGCCCACATCTGCCGAGTGACTCATAAAAGGATATTTTCACATTAGTTGCAAAAAAAACTTTTACTATTATAAACACCCATAGGGTAGACGTCTTTTCGATTTCATTAATACGGCAATAATATTATTTTGTCATTATATATCGAGAGTTCGCAAGGATTTTCCTTTGTCTTTCCATCCTACGACAGAGAAGAATCCGACTTTAAATTACACATTATTGTATATTCACGTGGTATTTAATTAGGATTGGATAAACGATTAAATAACTTTTTTTCAGTTTAAACAGTTGTAGAATTATTTTAAATTTGTTAATGCAGTTACTAATGTATTACTCAAGTCCTAAAAAATTTCTTTTGATAAACAATCGTTAGATAACATATCGTTATTCAGTTAGTTTCCGAAGAATGACGGATTCCAAGTGAAAGCTCCAATTAAAGTAGGCACTGCAACAAGAGAAGTTCGGTGCCGCGCATACGAGATGTATATAAAACACATTTATTCAAAAAGCGTTTCATTGAAAAATACATACAGTAATGTATGTCTGTATAATTTCCAGTCGGATATACATATGTATATGAATGCATAAAATGCGATTTATAGAAACCGGGAGACATGTGAAAGTAAGTGAGTAAGTATTTATAAATACTCATTGACCATTATACCATATACATATGCATGCAAGTATGCTTGCAAATATGCGTGAAATATCCAAAAAATACATATGTATGTATATGTAATGTAATGTACTAGACTAATGGCGTTACGCAAACTTCGAGATAAATAATGAATTTTTTTAAGTATCTAACGACAAAACGAATGTCCCTTCAAATCTCATTCGTTATTTTGGTTATCCGGAAAAATATGGTTTTACGTGAATAAACCCGGTCCGTTTATAGCGTTATTTGGAACATCTATATCAGATTTCGTTTCTAAGCTATCGCCTTTAAGTCGCGGAGATCTCTCGAGCAGTATACATATATGTATGCGGCTCTCTTTCGGCGTGCTGTTAACGTGTAAAATAAGCATTCCAGTATTTTCTTCATACACTTGGAGAGGTAAAAATTTCAGTGCGTGCACGTAGTACAAAACGTCGGAGGATCCGACGGACAATGGGGCAAGGTGCGCAGAAAATACGGTGAACAGAAGGAAAAATAGCGATGAGTAGGGAAGCGGTGGCGCCTCGGAGACCAGGATAAAACGGTCCTGAGGTAGCGTAGACCTCCGTCCCCCGCGATGCAACGTCGTCGGGTCGGTTCGGTTGCTCACTCGTTCTCGTTCGTTTCATCGCCCCACTCTAACTCATACATCCCCGGTCCCTTATGACCCCACCTGCCCCGTATCCAGAAACTTTACCCTCACCCAGTCGCATTCAGTGCCCCTGTCCCCCTCCCGCCCCACCCCCGGGCCTCACCGTGATTCCGCCTTGCCTGCTGCCAGCCAGCCGTCCGTCCTTACGTCCGTCCGTCCACCGTTTGGATCTATGGTTGTGTCGGTGGATTTCGTGACGTTAACCTGGCGGCCCTGAAAACGTTGGACTGACCGTACGATTTCGACTAACCCTTCTCGTCGCGGGGCGCGAACGTAAAACGCGAGTGTGTTTTTTAATCACCGGTGGCCGCCGCCGCACACTTGGAATATATGTACCACGGACTAGTTCGGGTAAGAGAAGAGAAATGTGTGCAGTGAAACTAACCGAATACGTTCCCGGCCGTGTGTCCGAGAACTCCTCCTAAAGGAGCGGTAACAAACTCGGTTAAACGGCCAAAGTGAATCGGGGAAAACAGAAATTGTTTTGGCCGTACCGAACGAAAATTGGCGAAACGCGTTTTGACTACTCCTCGTCTGGTTTCCTTTTTCTTTTTTTCTTTCGTGCACACATATACCACGTACACACGTACGAGCGCGCGCGCCGCGCACACGCATATACATACGAACGATCCTTCCCTTCCAGCCTTCTTTCTTTGAACAATACGCGTAAACGTGTGTAATTTATCCTCTTCGTTCTCTTGCATATGCTCGAACGTATGTACGTCTACTGTTAAATTACATTATAAAGTGCATTCTATTCTTCTTCCTCCTCCTCCTCCCTCTGTCTGCCGTCCCCCTCTTCCACCCCCTCCTCTTTTCATTTATTCTGTTTATTCTTCGAATAGGATAAACAAGGAGACGGGTTAATGGGAAAAGAGAGAAAACTGGTATTCCTGCACCTGTATCTAAACCTAAACAGTTACATAGTGATGTTACAAAGTGTACAGTGAATGGTACGCGTTTCCGTAGACGAAATATGACCGATTCCGTAACGCTTGCTGCCCGGCCGTGCCCGTCGATCACAACGTTCATCCGCAGTATTTCAAGTGCGTTCTAATCGGTCATTCTTTCGTCGGCCGGATTCATCGATTCGTTTCATCCGATCCGTACCGTGGTAGTTCAATTTGTTTCACGCATTCCGCGGCACCGTGGCCACGTTACCACGTCTTCCCCTGTTTCTTGCAGCTACCGTGCAACTGCCCGACGCCCTACGCATAAAATAGCCAAGATCCGTGTCCTGGCATTCTCAAGAATAAAGTGTTTACGTGGTGCTTCATGGTGCCTCCAAGTTACCGACCGAGTGTTAACTTCAGCTATTTTCTTGTGCTACATCGCTGTGCCTGGCTACATATCTATTTAGATTCTGTGTGCCGTGTACCTTAGGCAGCCCGATTTTAAAGGTGTCGTCTCGAAGGGACTCGTGGTTTTCGTGTGATATCAATCGTGATTGTGTGTGCTCTCCGCCGTGCGTGCCGGCTGGCAATGGTTTTTCCCGTTCGTGTACGCGAGAATCGCAGTTTTCTAATGGTGTCCGGAGCAATGTGAGAGCGTGCTGGAGAGTATTCAAGAATCCTGAAATAGCGAATCTAATAATAGGCGATATCTTATTCTGACCACTTTTCGTGTGAACTTGAAGAGATAACAACGCAGCATGTGATTAATTAACGAACAAAATCGTACGTATGTTATATAATTGTTATACGTTAAGAAAAAGCAAAACAACATTTCAAAAATCATACTAGTATCATACTCGTGGGTGAATTTAAGACGAGATACGTTCTTTTCTGTCAGTCTGTATCTGTCTCTCTCTTTCCCTATCGCGATTTTCTCATTAATTCCGTGAAAACGTTCCGTACCACCTGGAGAATAAAGTGAGCTCGGACGCAACTGTTGAACCAATGGTGACGTGTCCCATTCTTTTACATTATATCAACTTTGTTTTCCTTGTTAACCATCATCATCACGCGAGCGATCGTATTACGTCTCAATTAGCCGACAAAATCAGTGAATCATAGATATTCTAGTCAAGTGATAAGTACGCGAGATTTTTGATAGTGACAAATCGTGTGGACTTTTATTCAACCAGTACGTAACCACATTTCTCCGATCCGTCGCATCGTAACGCGCGTCGGTGTACGAAAAGGAATAAAGTTTCTTACACGATTCTACGATTTGCCACGCTTCCGCTGCTCCTTTTCATTTTATTGAATGTCAGTGGCATTTATGGTTGGCTCTATTTCTGGTTCAATTCAAGTTGAAGACTTTTCTACTTCGTGGTACATCGGTTTTCCTCAACCGTATACGCGCATCTCGCTTTAAAAGTGACACGATTACAACATCATTGATTTTCCAACAAATTCAAATAATCGCGACGTCGACAAGTGTTTCTGTAATCTCTTCGTGAAGCTAACTCGGACAAGGTTTTTTTCTTTTTTTTTAGTTATGTCACTTTGTCGTCGGTTCTGCGAAATTTCAATACATTTTCTCAGAAATCGAATCCTACGTACGTTCAGTATTTAATTTTGAGTACACGCCCACCGTTATGTAAGTGAACTGTACAATGTACAAGAATTGAGTACCTTATCAGTTATCTACCAAGTACTTTGATATAAGAGAATAGTCCTGTCCTGCGATGTTAATATTTTAAATACACGCACCGAATTTACTGAGCACACGACGCGCACATAACAAACACATTGTTTTTATTCAATTTCAACCGGGATTAACTGCATGACATTTTTAATCAATCTATAATTGTGAAAAGACCGCGAATTTCGTTTGTTTTTTGAATGACGTCTTATCGCACGATATAATGTAGATTGCGAGGTCTTAATCAAATCGCTTGATTCAATTGATTACACATTGTCTACCTCATTGCAACTTAAAAAAAAATTGAATTATTTTCTACATTTTACACAGATGAAAGTAGAAATATAAGAATATTATTTTAACGAAGAAAATTTCATTATAATCACAATTTGTTTAATTTCTTCAAATACTTAACATTTGTTATTTACGTGGAACGAGACGCTATGGTCTTTATTTTCTACATTAATTGTTCTTTGCTATTTATACGGTAATAAAGATTTCCTTGGAGGAAGTTAGAAAATGTTTGCTGTGTACCATTCAATTTTTCGATTTCAATCTCGGTTTGCTCGCAGTTTTCCGTTTGGGATCTGGGACGCGATTGAATTTCGATTCTTTATAACGTTTTTAATCACGCGAAATGTATGCAGTTCAAATTCAATTCTGACACGTATAATACATGTATAGTTTTCCAACTCCGTCGGAACGCAATTTCTCGTTTTGAATTTCGACTTGTAAATTTTCTGTCCACGCATTCTTCTACGCCACGGTTCTTCAGTTTCGTTTGCTTGCAATTTTTTTCACAGACAAAACGTTCTTGCACTCCTTTGACACAATTTTTGAAGTCATCAGTCGCTGAGAATTTTGAAAATCCATTTGCTTTTGCTTAATAAATAATTTATTTGTACGTGTTAAATAATTTATTTATACACATCAAATAAATTATTTATACGTTTTAAATAAATGTAAAACTCAATGTTTTTGATCAGATTTTCTGCGCCTGCATTTTTAACGGTTCTTTATTAATTCATTTTTCATTTTGTTGATTTCGCTTGTTTTTTTTACTGCTTCTTATATTGTATCGGAAATATGCATTGTATCTTTCTGAAGTAATTGGTGTCTTATGCGAATGCGTTCAGAGTCCTATAGTCTTACATAATAATTGCATAACGTACTACCATTTTGCTATTTAATTGAGAAAATATCATAAATATAAATAGGTTATATTTTATTTTTTATTTGCTCAGTCTATAGTCCATGTATATATATTTCTATATGTCTTCGGATACAATTTTACAGTACTACATAACTTAATTTTTACGCATTTGGTTAGCTGTTTAATTATTATAAAGAATCTTATGTACTAAATAGATAGATTATATCTTCTGCAATTAAATCAGTACTCTTCAAGCAAAAAGTAAAATTCTTTGTCTGATATTTAAAATTTATTTAAAACCTACTAAGATTTCTGCAT